AACTTTAATGTGTGCACAGATCATCTGGAGATCTTGCTGAAATGCAGGTTCTGATTCAGTGGGTGTGGCTGGGGTTTGAGATTCTGCATTTCTAAGGAGCCAGCCACCAGGGGGTACAAAGACAGCAGGTGAGCAGGCCACCCTTGCAATAGCAAGGGTCTAGAGCTGCAAGATCCAATATAGTGGCCACAAACCATATGGGGCTATTGGGTGCACGAACTGAGGCTATTCCAAGTTGATATGTGCTGTAAGTATAAAATAAACACTGGATTCAAAGCCTTAGTACAAAAGAAATGTAAAATAGCTCAACAGTAATTTTTACATTTATTACATGCTTGAATAATATCTTAGATATACTGGATTAAATAAAGTACATCACACAATTTTGTTGTGCTTCTTGTTACTGTTTTTAATGTAGATAAAGGACATTTAAAATTATTTATTGACTTGCATCCTATTTCTGTTGCACAGCGCTGATCTAGAACTTTCTTCACTGCTCTGTGGCAGTTGCACAGTGAGAAGGGTGTTTAAATGGAACAGGATGTAAATGCAGATGTTGGGAGCTGGGTGCGTTTCTTGCTTGGAACTCAGAGTCTACGAGTATAGGTATAAAGTAAGAACGATCATGGTTGCCATTCACTGAATGCTTAAGAACTATCACTGTTCCAAAAGCTTGACATGGACTATCTTGTTTAGTGCTCACAACAGCTCATGAGGTGTTACTATTATTCTCACTTAACAAGTAGGGGATTTGGGGCAAAGGTATGTGAAGCAACTTGCCCACAGCTAGCAAGTGCAGTGAGCTTTAGAAGGCCCTGCTCCAAACCCTCCCTGACTTGGTGCCCCCTCAAAGGGCTAAGAGACCATGAGGCCAAGAGGATAGCTTTCTGGAGCCCAGGCCCCCACCCCTATTCTAGAACATGCTCCAGTTACCCAGAATCTCAGAATTCCCTGCCCATGTGGTCAGAAGCTGATTTTCAAGGCCTTTCCTGAATCCATCCACCCAAGGATGGGTCATACCTCCAAAGAGTCCCCCAGTTGGTCTGAAGGCAGCCTTTTGCAGGACGTGGATGGAACTTGGGTGCAAAAACCCCTTTCAGTGCAATATGGAGCCAGGGCTGAGTGCTGGAAGCTTCCAGCTGTACTCTTGCTCGGGACTCCACTAATATTAGGGGCAGGCTTAGTGCCAGGATCCAATGCCAAGGGCCGCATGCTGAATGGATCACGTAGCTGAAGGTGGGCTGAGTTTCAAGACTTTGCAGGTCACTCTGGGCTTGGAGACTCACCCTCACATACAATGGCCACAGGGAAAGCATTGCTACTGCAGAGATTAAAGGGGAGTGAGTGGGCATCTGGTTTCCAGAAATCCTTTCTCTCTCTGCCCTGGTGTAAGGCAACTTGGACTTTGAGGGGGGCAATTTCCCATTCCTGTCTCCCAGCTGACCACTTTATACTCAGATTCAAAATGATCTTCCTTCTGGAAAGCAGCCCCTTTATATTGAAAAGCAAACACTAAAAGCCTCACTGTAGAAATCACAGTGCTGGGACTTATTTCAATACTTTAATGCCACCGAGAAACTGCTGAGCCATTCATTATGTAGGTGCAAAACAGAAGGACTAGGGTATACAATCATGTGTCATGTTTTGGTCAAGGATGGAAAGCATATCCCACAGTGGTCCCATAAGATTATAATGGAGCTGAAAAATTCCGATTGCCTACTGACAATGTAGCCATCATAACATCATAGCGCAACACTACGCTATTTAAAACATCAATTTAATGTAGCCTACATACGAGTATGCAGTGTTTATAAAAAGTCTACAGTAGTAGCAGTCACGTCCGAAGTCATCACGGTCACTCCCCGTCACTGACTGGCTCCCCCAGAGTGACTTCCTGTCCTGCCAGCTCCATTCATGGTTAAATGTCCTACACAGGTGTTCCTTTTTTTTTTTTTTTTAATCTTTTATACCGTGTTTTTACTGTACTTTTTCTATGTTTAGATACACACATACCATTGTGTACAACTGCCTGCAGTATTCAGCGCAGTAACATGCTGTTCAGGCTTGTAGCCCAGGAACAGTAGGCAACGCCACACAGCCTAGGTGTGCAGGAGGCTAGACCATCTAACGACTCATTTCTCAGCACACATCCTCATGATTGTATTTGAATTTCTTTTTCTGTAAAATACGGAGGGTGGTAACATATGCCCGAATCTTGTTTGCTCAGCTGCCTTTAAAGTAGTCTCAAGTCTTAGCAAAGAAGTTCTGGAAAATAGAGCATTGCTGGGCCCCTCTGCTGGCAGGGCCAGAGACAAGTCCTGTGGCTTTCAGAGCTCTGGTCTTATGACTCTAGAACTGTCGCTGTGAAACATTGTTTTCCTTCTGTCTACCCTCCCTCGGTATTCTTTCCTGGGCAATCAGATAGGAGCCCTGATCAATTCCAGGACGCGCCACAGTGGTGCGTTGCTATATTAGCCACATTCCAATATTCCCCTTTTCTAGAAGACCTGTCCTCAGTCTCATTCTAAGACTTTGTTCTTGCGGGATTATCCTTTGAAATGCACCATCAGATAAATTGTTGACCTTTCTCTTAACTGCATATAAAATAAATTCTTGCTTTTGCTCCACTGGAGACAGAAGGAAGAAAACACAGCAACAGAGGAAGAATCTGAACCGCTGGCAAGGTCAGGCCAGGGTGGACGAGGTAATCTTTATCTCCTCCGAGATCAAAATAAGAGGCAATTAATTTCCTTGGCTATGCAAGGGGCTGTGGGTAGAGATGGAAAGAACTCCCAGATAATGAGGATTTCGGAACTGGGGAATAAATTACCAATTACCTGAGTAAGATAGAATCTCCTCCTCCCCTTGAGGGATTTAAAAGCTGGAGCAAGAGACAAGCAGGATTAAGGCCCGGTGGGCTTTGGTGAAGAGAGAAGAATTAGCCTGGTGTCTGCTCAGGAGGACAATGGGAACAGCTAGTTGACTAAAATCAGCCTTTTCTCCTCCTTTCTGTATCTTCTCAATCACCTCAACTAAACCAGGCCAGCAGTCATAAATACCTTGCACTTGTACATTTGCAAAATAATTTCATGTTACGTCAGCGGGTTCTTAGAGTGGGAAGCCCATGAATTAGATGGGAAATGCGTGTACTAGAATCATCACAGGAAGAGCAGACTTAAGTGAGCTGCCCTAACAGCCGGTTTGTTAGCATCAGGCCTAGGATTTGCACAGGTTTCCTGATGCTCGGCTCTTTGCAACTGATGTCTGAAAGCTCTGAATCTGGTGAAGTATTAGGGGTGACGGAGGCTCCACTACAGTTTAAATTGCATTTCTGAATATTTTCGATGTGTTTAAAAATGGAAATAATACAAACTTCCCACCTTATCTCCTTGTTAACATTTGGCTGGAGGGCGGGATGGCTTCATGTCTAACTAGCCTTATTAAAATTGACACAAGCCGCAGATGCAAGTACATTGAAAGAAAAACAAAACAAAACAAAAAACATAGAGAGCTCTCCTCTGCCTAATTGCGTGGTCTACTTAACTGTGAGGCAGTGTCCAGGGGCTTGACTCCAAACCAGAAAACTCCAGGGAACTGATTGTTGAGACGTGCCCAGCCAGACCAGATGATCTGATTACGACTTCATCATCCCAACTCAGTCCTGCAAGACTTGTTGCCTTCAGAAATTTAAAGCAGAATTTTAAAAAGTGATTGAAACCTCTGTGTGTCTCTTTTATGGGGATGAAGTAAAAAAACGGAGTAGCTGAGTTTCTGTATTCAGAGGATTTTTTCCAGGGGAGTGGAGAGTGGTGGGAGACCAAACATGGAAATTGGCTGCCAGTATTCACCTTCTAATCAATTATAAGTGCTCCACTGGCCCCCCAGCATCCCTGGCTGCAGCCCTCACCTATTCTTGTTTTATGGTACAGGCTTGTTTCAAAAATGCCAGGATTAGATCAGCAATGTCTGTGAAAATCAGGAAAATAAATCTTTAGTACTGTGTAGTATAGGTAAGCATGAAAAAACAAAGGTATATTTAATATTTCTGTACGAAATTTCAGTCTGGGACTTGAGAAGAATGGGTTATATTTTTCTGCTGTAAAGTTTGGTCACATATGTTCTATATCTACGTATACCAGGGGTGCCAAAAAATGTATACAAGTGGACACTGTGGTCAACGTTACTCAAGCAGTAGTTCGCTGTAATCAGAAGTGTTTGGACGCTGATGGTAACCACTTTGAGCGCCTCTTGTAATTGCAGAAGTCAAACGTGACTTGTATTCATCTTTTGTTACCGAAATATATTATTACAATTTCAATACAGTTTTC